GAGAGAGAGAGAGAGAAAGAGAGAGAGAGAGAGAGAGAGAGAGAGAGAGAGAGAGACAGACAGACAGAGACAGAGACAAAGAGACAGAGGGACAGAGAGACAGACAGACAGACAGACAGACAGACAAACAGACAGACAGAGATAGAGAGACAGAGAGAAAAAGAGAAGAGCAAGTACTTTATGAGTGAGGACACTGATCTCTTTAAAGCCAAGGGCAATAGTGTAGGCCAAGGAAATGCTTATTGCAAACATCACAGAAGTGTTCAGAAGCAGATCAGCATCTAGCCTGCACACTTTATTTGTGTAAGGGGAGTCGCAATAAGGCATGTATCTGATATTATCACCCCATGTATTAATGCCTTTCCTCTTCAACAGAGATTCCACACGGCGCTAAGCTTGCCGGTGATCTGCAAAGTTTTAAAAGTCTAGGTGAATATGTCCCAGAAAGTAGACCATGGAGCAAATGAAGCAGAAAGGCTTCTAGTTTGAGGAAAAAATCGCTTATCCTAGCAGAGGTGGCTAAAAATTCAATGTCAAAATCAAAAACTCAAATCTGAAAAATATTTGGGAATCCATATTAAATTTAATCTACTTTCAAATTTTTTCGAACGGGAAATAAATGAGAACTATGCTGCACCACAGAGGAAAAGGCATAACCATAACTTAACCTAATCAAGTTTGTATCAGTGTAACAAATAGTAAAACCCACTGCATCTATAAGTGACTACGAACTATTACACATGTTGGTATGGCATGATGTACGATGTATGTAAAACTTTGACCCACTTATCCAACGTTATAATCTTCCTTGAAATTCATATTTATAAAAATATAACGACATTCGAACATGAAAAGATTTCTCTGTGCCGCTGATCTTGCTATGTGCATACTAGACTGTATATTTTCAATATTCTTGAACTGACAAAGCTAAAAAAAAAAAAATATTCCCACAAAGAGTGCACGTATGAAACAAGAATATTTTTTGTTGCAGAGAAGCCGAGACAAGTCTGAATAAAAGAAAAAGGGACACAAATACAGGATGTGGGCAGGCTGTTTTTTAAAATGTCAGCTTGTAGCAAGCTTTTCCACAGAGTCAGTTCATCATAGAGAAATACTATACATGAGATTCCAAACTGCTCAAATAAACAGGATTCGTATGGGTTGAGTCAGAAATATACAAAGGCTTGAGATTATGGGAGGTAAAAATTTCAGCCAAGTTGTTTAACATGAAGTCCTAATGTCAATCAATCACTCTTTAACCCTATCCGTATGTCATGTCTTATTATCGTATCCATGCGACGTGGGGAATTTTGTGCCACCACTTTCCAAAGAGGAAATTTACTCCTTAATCCGATCTGTACGCTTTGCATAGCCGTCTATCAAATTGACTTTTCGAGAAATACTGAAAGTTTCAAAGAGATCTTCGTACTAGAAGTATTCTAAAATGTGAAGAATAAAACACTGGGGGTACAAAATGACCCCAGGGTGTACGGACAGGGTTAAAGATTATGAGAGAAAAATTAAAGTGGGCAGATGAAGAAAAGAGATTTGGGACAGGACTTGAATAGAAGACATTGAGGTTAGTATACGGATAGAGTAAGATTATGACAAGGGAATATTACGATATATCAAAGTACAACATATTCAAGAGAAGTAAAAACGCTTGAAAAGTTATGAGAGGAGCAGAGTGAGTCTGTTATTACTCTCTTGCTGACTGAGCTCCAATGTGCTGAGAACAAGGCTTATTTTAACTTTTAGGGGGCTGTCATAGTGTAGACTATCTAAGGGTCTCAGTCCCAGGATCAAAATCTGCCCGTGACGAAAAAATGTTCTTTCTGTACCATAGTTTTCTCTTAAATTTTGTCTTCCTTTTCTGTTGTTTAGTCCTGTTCTGTCGTCTCTTTGTATCTCCACTTTTGTCCCCCCCTGGCCCAATCCCCTCTCTGCTTCTCTCTCCCTTACTCCTGAATTTTTTCTACTGCTACTCCTGGCTTCTTACTGCTGTCTTTTAGCCACACCTTTGATTTTAAGGTAAGATCAAACATCTAGCCTTCTCCGATGAGGACGGAAAATCTTGGAGGTCTCATGTGCAAGTTGAGCACATTCAATATCCGGGCAAAAATCGAGATTAATCCCTACCCAAACTGAATATACTGTGGTCAGTGCGTTTAAAAAATAGAGTGCCTTCGAAATAGGAAAGTGGCTGCCTGAAGGCAAGGGCCCTTCGAAGAAGAAAAAACAGTCACATACAGCGTTAAAAGCAGTTGCGCTCCATGCTAAGATCTAGCAGGGGAACGCAAGGTAGAATTCTTAATAGGCCTATACTGTGTCCCAGTTCCACTAGCGAGTTATCACTACCATTACCTGGCATCACCAACTGAAGTGGTGCACAGCATCAATCGTTTGTTTGCTCTCAAAGCAAATATCAACAAACCCCAGCCAACCCATGATTGTATGGAGCATTCATTTTTGCTTAGTTAAGAGTTAAATTTATAATGGTAAAACAGGTCAAAGGCTTGGGCCATGTTGAACAGAAATTTCTGATACTGAAAAATTAGAAAATAAATGAGCTGCATGTGCATGTAAATTTGGAAGAGCCATCCCTATTTAACTAGAACTTGAATCATAGCATGGCAACCTCTGGTTGGTATTATATTTAGCTGGAGCATTTCAATGGGTGAGCAGTTTAACCCCTTCATGACCTACATGATGTACGTCATCCGTCTTTTTTTTTTACAAAGTGAACGAGCTAAGATGCTGCAGCGACATACACGGCGTTCATCATGCCTTGCCAAGCGCGAGGACCATGATGATGAACGCCATCTTTATAATTGTAGGAAACTGACTACTAAATCTTGCCCTATTCTGTGTCCCTTTGGATCCAAAACTCTGCCAGGTGAAGCACGAACTGACCCTGTGTCACGAAGGGGTTAATCAACCTTTAATTTTAATAATTTAAATTTTTATAATAGAACAGGGGGGAAGGACAAATTAGGGAAGGACTTCTGTAACAAGCGAAAACTCCAACAAACACAATAAAAAAGACACCTAACTCTAACCCAGCCCCTACCCTTACCAAACCCTAACCTAATCCTCTATTCTACTCTGTTTCAACATATGGTCGCTCGCTACGGAATTCCTCCCCAAATTAGACAAGGGACTGCTTTTCATTTAAATACATATAATGAGCCAGAGGCAGCATGCGCCTGGGGAGGAAAAACAGTGGTGTATGAGAATGTCCATTTCATTTTCCGCTTTCATTTAGAGATCTAGGGTCAAGTTATTTGTAGCCTACTGACTTATGACTACTGAAAAAGATTATAGGCCTCGAAACTCGAAAAGATTAAATTTAAAAATAAAAATACATTACCTCCACCAAATAAAACTTGTCTTTTGAAGAAATATTCTACCTCTGCATTGTAATGCTCTGTATATGAACCAAGACGGCTTCCTGTACTTCGAGATTCAGTCCAATGTACTTTAGCAACACCTTTCATAAAGATTCTCAAAGATCTCATTTTCATGTCACCCTTCAGCTCAACCACAACGCTGCCTTGCACCTGCTCTCCAGGGTGAAACACTGATTTATTTCCAGCCAGGATGATCTCGAAGCATTTAAGCTTCCCCATCTTGTTTCAGTTTCCCTGAAGCAACGTTTCAAGTACTGAACTGATTTACATTTTTGTGTTGTATCGGTCCCTACCAAGCAGGAAACTAAAAGAAAAGAGGAAGAGAAACATCCCAAAATCTGTGCCTAATGTTATGAATTATTTCTCCAATCTCTATCGCCTCCGCGGCGAATACAGGAAGTAAACATGATGAGTAGCTTAGTTTCGCAGTTTTCGAAATTTTACTTCTCAAAGAGAATGCAATGTAATAATGTATTGAATTTTCATTCTTGAAACTTTCATTCCTAAGCACAATATTGCCGCAGCTAAAAGTCATTTTGATACTCATAAAGAGAATAAAATACAAACAGGTATACACTTTTAAAGGGAGCTGCATTAGCCTATATTTACAACACGCCACACAGCGGTCTCACACGAGCCTCCAGCAGGTGACTCCTGCTGTTACCCTTGTGATTTGTACACAAATCCCTCCTGTGTATATTGGAGTCCATTTACCTGTTGCGGGCTGTTTACAACTCAAGAAACAGCGCTGTAGTCCTTGAATAATAGCCTACTATTCTGTTTGATCCCCATGCTTCTATTGAAACGATCTGACAACTGTAACCGCAGTTCTTTGGCAGTCGGTGTCTTTCAGTTTTCATGTATCATGTATTACAAAATATGTGTAGCCTGTTATAGTAGGCATATTTGTCATGCCTTCAATTCCAATGTGCAATGCTGGTTAAGTGGACAACATCTGTGCCGATTGTTAACGTCAAGGAATTTCTTAATGCTCCATGCGCTCAACTGTAGCCAGGCTTCCGAGGCCGTTACCCCTGGCAGACCATACAATACTCAGAAACATCCTCGGCTTCCGTAGTCGCGCTGGGAGGCCTACTTTAAATTCTGGAGAATTTATCTTCGAACAACTATACCCCCCCTCCACCTCTATACTTTTTCATAATGAATGAAATAATTTTAACTTAATTTCTCTGTGTAAATGACTTTGGTAAAAGCAACTTGTGATCATTTCATTTTCATTTCGTATTTATTAATTACGTATCATAACATTAAAAGAATAGTCCCCGTTCAGTATTTCCTAACTATTAAACAAAAATTAAGTGTCCTATTCATAAAAATATACTACATTTAGGGTACTGTACTAGTATGTGGGGTATGGTATGATGTATGCAATAAAGGGGGGGGGGGGGGGGTTGGAAAGGGCGGGTCCCTTCTAAACAGGCCCCAAGCCTCCCACATTCTTAATCCAGCTCTGCCCAAAAAAATAAGTCTCTGTAAAGAGAACTCCAGTCTCTGGTGATCTGGTTTGGACCTGCACTTACCCCCGTCAACGTGATGAGACGAGGATTTTTGGAGAAGAATAAAGGAAAGAGTGGGGTAAGGGGGGGGGGGGCAGTCCCAAGTGTCCGAGAAAGGGAGGGGGGAAGGAGGAGACTAAGAAAGATAATTCTTGTATAAATAGAATTAATCGTAATATATTTTGATTTTTTTCGAGTTTTATTTTAAGTCTTCTCAACGTTGATCAGTAACAATTGACCAATTGGGGTACGTGCATGATTGTGTGTGTGTGTGTGTGTGTGTGTGTGTGTGTGTGTGTGTGTGTGTGTGTATGTGTGTGTGATATGTGTGTGTGTGTGTTTGTGTGTGCGTGAGTGTGTGTATGTGTGAGAGTGAGAGACAGAGAGAGAGAGAGAGAGAGAAAGAGAGAGAGAGAGATAGAGAGAGAGAGAGAGAGGGGGGGGGAGAGGGAGAGAAAGAGAGAGGGGGGGGGTGTCTCTAATTGTGCACGTGAGCTTTTATGGTACACCGTGTGTCCACTTATGCGTTATAATGTGCATTAGTCTGTTGTTATTTGTGCATTAGTAAGCGTGTTCCCCAATTGGCTCTCGAACCCCTCCCCCACATTTACTCAGATCTGTGGGCAAAGGAGCCTTCCAGTGAAATAACGCGTGTTTTCTTCGAGATAACGGATAAAACTCCACGAGATCAAATTACACTCCCCCGTTCTAAGCTACGGCAGACTAAGACCTATAATCCACTCTGACATCTGGGGAAAGAGCTCAATCCGTTTGATTCTATTTCCTTTCTGGAACATTTCCCCTTTGTTCTGTGTCCCCACAAAAAAGCGAACTAGGATTTAGATTTGGAAATAACCAATCCTGTGTATTGCCAACCGGATTAAAGATTCATTTGTTCATATCTATTAATTGAACTTGCGTGGTCACCGATTTTCATCGCTGATTTAGTAGGAAATGAGTTTGTTTATCCATTTTGCTTTTTACTATATCATCTAACAGAAGGTTGCTTGTTTTAGTCAGTGTAGACTTGTTATTTTTGTGCTTATTTTCTAGACGCCGGGCCCACGTTGTGTTTATGTATGCTTGTGTGTACGTGTGTGTGTGTGTACGAGCGTGCGTGCGTGCGTGCGTGTGTGTATGCGTGTGTGAGTGTGTGTGTGTATGTGTCCACAATACAGCAACACAGATAGTATGCGACACGAGAGAGAGAGAGAGAGAGAGAGAGAGAGAGAGAGAGAGAGAGAGAGAGAGAGAGAGAGAGAGAGAGAGAGAGAGAGAGATAGGGGTGGGGGGTCGTTATGAGGGTAAATGTTTTTTCGTAATTTATGTTACACATGGGCCTATTCAGTTTTGTTCTAGCCGTGCCATAATGTTAAGCGTGTCAAGGGCCAGAATGAGACAGGCGCTATTGTTTATTTAGTTTTAGGGTCACAAGTGTATTTTCAAAGCGGGCCGGAGAGCAGAGAATGCCAAACGCGGTATTTATTTTTTTTTCAATACAATGCACTAATGTGTTAAATGGAAGAGATGTTTCCCGGTTTAGACAATATTGTGTCAATGTCACAACTGTCATAATATCCCCCCC